TAATCTGCAATTGCCTCTCTGACTCCTTCACTAACTACAAAAAAATAAATAAATGACTTATGTTTTGCTTCTTACACTTTCTTTACACACCTGAAACTCGCCTACAGCACTTCTTCATTGTTGCTCTTATAGTTGTGTAAATTGCTTCCTTGTCCGCATTTGTAAGCCGCTTTGGATAAAAGCCTCTGCTAAATGTAAATGTAAATACTTTTGTCAGTCCGGTTAGGCTTGTCTTAGCCAAGCTGTCGATGTTCAGATGTCTCTTAGCCTTTAAAACACACAAAATGCTTTCCATAGTGAGTCATTTGGGATGCAACTAGTGTATAATGATGTAGAAATGCTGACTGATCAAGTGTGTGTGTGTTCTGCATGCTGGTTTTCATTCATTACTGAAATAGCAGGTGATTGTTTGGCGTCCGCTAGAAACTTTCCTCTAGACGTTTATATATTTAAGCGTTTCATTATTTATTTACCCCTGTAGCTCATTGTTTAGGTGACACAGAACGGCATGTGATAATAATAGCCTGTAATGCGCTCTCTGTGTGCTGTGGTCAGTCAGTATGCATGATTTGGAGCTGATCTACTGATAATGGTGTTGTGGACAGTCTCTCAGTGTTCAGGATCTATGGGCTGACCGTCCCGCAGGACGTCCAGCCCAGTAAATGATTACACTGAGGGGGTAATTAACAACAATCTGTCTTCAAACGCTCATTTTGCTGGACCGCTTCGCCCTTCATTTGCCTTTCCAGTTTCTCCAATGTATAATTCGTCTTTTCTCCGCAATCCTCCGACTCAAGGGTGTAGAATTAGCATGACGGCCAATACTTTAATCTCACCTCCAAAATAAAAGAATTCTCTGTCAGCTCTCATTAATGTAGAGTTGAAGTCTGAGTTATTCGCCCTCCTGTATATTTCATCCCCAATTTCTGTTTAACAGAGAGACTTTATTCTGAACATAATAACTCAGTTCTGATGACTGATTTTGGCGATGTGGTGGCGCAGTGAGTAGCACGTTGACCTCACAGCAAGTAGGTCGCTGGTTCGAGTCTCGGCTGGGTCAGTTGGTGTTTCTGTGTGGAGTTTGCATGTTCTCCTCGTGTTGGTGTGGGTTTCCTCTGGGTGCTCTGGTTTCCCCAACAAGTCCAAACACATGCGCTTTATGGGGAACTGGGCAACCCAAGCTTATTCTGGAAACGTAGCCCCGCGGATGTTTCTGGAGACTGCGATTTATGTGGCCGGAGGTACGTGTTGCCGCTTTTTGTTTTTTTCGAGTGAACGCTATGGGGCGGTGTGACGCCGCTCCTCCTCTTCGCGCTCGCTGGCTGACGGCTCACCTCAGTTTGGAGGGCTTTCCCGCCGAAACCAGTTTGTCTGCTTAGCTCGCAGTGTTACGTCGGCGTAGCGGAGACCCGGAGGAGGAGGAGCATAAAATAAACAAGAATAAAGAGTAAAAAATAAAGAATAAAGAGAATAAAGAGGAGAATAAAATAAACAAGAAAAAATATTATAGGAAATACTGTGAGCAATTCCTTGCTCTGTTAAACATAATTTGGGAAATATTTAGTGAGATTCACAAGATGTACAGAAATGGTTAAATCACAGTTCTTCTTTTATTATTTCAGGCTTGTAAAATATTGATTTGTCATACTCTCCCGTTCCCTGCGCTCTCATAGTTTTCCAGCTATGACGACTTCAACGCTGAGAACCCCAGAAATGTGAAAAGGCTCCATATGAAAGCAAACCTGGGCTCTTGCTCTTGCTCACACAGCGCTGGATTGTGAGTAAATGTTGAATATACGGCAGGTTTTTGTTGAAGACCCCGGCGGCGGATCGATCCGCTGTGCTATTGGCAACATCCCTTTGAATAAAACACAGCCCTATTGAGTTCCCCATCCCCAGCGCGCACCAGAATAGGAGACATAACCTTTCACATGCAGGCCAGATTCAGTCTTCAGACGCTCCCGCCGAGAGCACAGACGCGTGTAAATGTCAGAGACGCTTCAAAAATACACCCGCTTCATCCTAACAAACCAAAGGTACGGGTGCAAAGCTCAAATGTGACCCTGGAGCACAAAACCAGTGGTATGATGCATGGCTTTAGTCAGTGGTGGAAGATAAGAAGTGAATTACAATGACTCAAATTTAACTATTATTGCTGCCGTCAATTTTTAGTTGAATCAAATGAACTTTACTTAAAACATACTTAAATTATTAAAATTAGTTAAAGGGGCGACACGGTGACTCAGTGGTTAGCACTGTTGCCGTTGCTGTTCGCTACAGGGGAATTGATGAACTAAATTAGTCATAAGTGTGTGTGTGTGTGTGTGTGTGTGTTTGTGAATGAGTGTGTATGGATGTTTTCCAGTACTGGGTTGCGGCTGAAACAGGATCCGCTGCATAAAACATATGCTGGAATAGTTGTCAGTTCATTCCGCTGTGGTGACCCCTGATATAAAGACTAAGCCGAAGAAAAATGTATTAATGAATGTAAATATAATGACTGGTTTTGGGATCCAGGGTCTCATATCTGTTTTGAAAGTCTCTTCTGCTCACAGCGGCTGCACTTATTTACTCAAAACATACTGTGTAAAATTGTGAAATATTTGTATAATTTAAAATAGATGTTTTCTCTTTGATTATATAGTAAATATTTATTTATAGCTGCATTTTCAGCATCACTACTCCAGTCTGTAGTTACACTGTCAGAAATAAAGGTATGTGAGCTGTCACTGGGGTGGTACCTTTTCAAAAGGTGGACGTTTGTACCTAAAGGGTTCATATTAGTACCTCAAAAGTGTATATTAGTACCGAAAAATTTTAAGAGGAACAGTTTTTCGATACCAATATATACCATTGAGGTATTAATATGAACCTTTTAGGTACAAATTTGTACCTTTTGAAAAGGCACCACCGCAGTGAGAGCTCGCGTACCTTTATTTCTGACAGTGTGCGTGACGCTTCAGAATTCAGTATAATATGATGATCAAGAAACATTACTGATCATTAGACGTGTTGGGCTGCATCATATTTTTGTGGAAACAGTGATTAGTTTAAATTTGTTTGTGGATTTTAGTTTAATTTTCAGGATCACTGATGAATGGAACAGCAGTTGTCTGAAGCAGACATGTGTTATGACATTATAAACGTCTTTAATGTGTCTTTTGATCAATTTAGTGCATCCTTGAAGACAGAGTTTGACCTCAAATGTTCGATTGCTAGTAGCCTGTATATCAGGGTTGCAGCAAATCAGCTTTGTGTCACAGGAATAAATATATTCAGAGAGAAAACACTTTAAATGGTCAATAATATTGCACTGTATTGCAGTTTTACTATACTTCTGATCAAAAGTCTTGTTGCCTATCCAAGTTTTAGGAACAGCAAATAATAAGTTCACTTCTAGTTGATCATTTGGTGTCAGAAGTGTCTCTATGTCAGGTAAAGGCCTCTAGATTTTGCTGATTTGAGCTCAGTTAAATCTGATCATGTCTTGATGTTGACTGATTTGATGAGGACAGTAAGCTCTGACTTTGCTTAGACTAAAGTCTCATCACTGAACCTTCAATAATGTCCAGTATAGAATATAAAGCCCTGCTGCAGTGGAGACAGAATGAATATTGTGTCTGACTCCATCATGAGCTTGGAGGACTGCATCCATACATCTCTGACACGACTCACATCACTGATTAATAAAGTCATCTGGAATGAAGAAGAAAGCCTTCAGCAGGATCCCAGAGTTCATCAAGAGTCTTTGTGTTCATCTTCAACACCTCCTCCTTCATCAGCTCAATAATGTTCATGTCTGGTGACTGGGCTGGCCAATCCTTGACCCTCTTTGCTTTCAGGAGCTTTGATGTGGAGGCTGAAGTATGAGCAGGAGCGCTATCCTGCTGGAGAATTGTCCCTCTCCTGTGGTTTGTAATGTAATGGGCAGCACAGATGTCTTGATACCTCAGGCTGTTGATGTTGATCATCCACTCTGCAGATCTCTCCATACTGACTGAACACCAAACCATGATTTCTCCTTCACCAAACTTGACTGATTTCTGTGAGAATCTTGTGTCCATGCTGGTTCCAGTAGGTCTTCTGCAGTATTGGTGATGCAGATCAGCAGATGATCCAGCAGAGAAATCCACCTTCTCACACTTTCACACATGAAGTTGAGTTATTATTTGCTGCTCTTACAACTGAGATCCACCACAAGACTTTTTTTCATGTAGTGTATATGGTGGATTCATTGATTTCATTATGCTCACACTCTATAACAACGTTTCATTAGTTATTTAGGGTAATATATTTACTAACATGAATACCATCTTAATAATCACAGTTCAACGTTTACTAATGCATTATTAACATCCAAGTTAATGCACTGAGTTAACAAACAACTTTATTTTCATTTAAAAATGCTATAATAATTACATGTTCCATGTTAGTAAATACATGAACTAATATAGCCTTACTGTAAAGTGTTTCTATATATATATATATATATATATATATATATATATATATATATATATATATATATATATATATATATATATATAAGCCCTATACATGGGTAGCACTTTAGTAAAGGTCACAATTCATGGTATTAACTACTGGCTCAAAATCACGTTTTTTCTACATCCTACCCAATACCTGAACCTGACGACTAAATACTAACAAACAGCTAATTAGTAGTGTATTATGCTAGTAGTGTTAGTTAATGGTTTGTTAATACTGTGAATTGTGACCTAAACTAAAGTGTTACCTACTGAATATACATCTCTTAATACCCTGCATTAGCACCAGTGTATTTCCCATGAGTATTTCAGCCAGTGAGAGTATAGTAAATCAGCATTGCAGCTTATTATTGTGTGAATTGCAACTCTTGTCATTCTGTATAAACACATTAAAGAGCTTAAGATGTATAAATCCCTGAAAAGCCAAACCCATTTTGAAGAAGGTGAATATTTCATGTGCAACCGAGCCATAAATGACTGTACCAAGTCTTGAAATTTGCCCATATATAATTTATTTATTAATTCATGTATTGTTTTTTTGACTCTATTATCTATGTATTTAATATTAAATAGTATATAGTTCTGGGTAAGCGTTCTGGGGTGGTATATGTGGCCTGTTCTCTCAGAGGTCCTTGTTTCTGTGTTTTGCGGGAACGTATGGCAGGAGCGTCTGCGTGCTCTTGTCTGAAACCGTCTGTGTGCTGCTGTTGCGCAGGAGTTTTTTCCGGCAGCCCGGGTTGAGAGCATCTTTTCTGGGTATCGTGTGGGATCCGCCGGCCGGTGGTTCCCGGCAGTTGTAGAGTTCGGGCAACGGCGGGACGGGCGATCCGGCAAGAGGACTGCGCTCGCTGTCGGTGTCCAGTTTATCCTCCTCTTCGTCTCGGCCGTCTTCATCTTCATCCTCGTCTTCATCGTCGTCGCAGCACAGCGCGTGGTACAGGATTTTGTCGCTGAAGCGAACGCGCTCTCGAGTTCCGGCCGTGCGGGAGGTTTTCTGGCTGTGTGAGGACAGAGATTGATTATTTTAGTGAATGAAGACTAAAACTATTAGTCAAAACAAAGTATTCATTATAGTAAAGTAAAACATGGTTATTTTAGTAAATGAGAACAAAAATGTAGCAATAGTTTCAATCTGAGACTAAAACTATTGGCCAAAACATGGTTATTATTGTAAACTTTTTTCTCATTTACTAAAATAATCTTGTTTTGACCACTAGTTTTAGGCTTAGTTTTTCGCTAACTGAAATATCATTGTTTCAATCTGAGACTATTGGTTAAAAGAAGATTATTTTTGTAAACCTGACCAAAACATGGTTAATTTAGTAAACTAAAACAACAACTGTCGGTCAAAACATGATTATTCTAGCAAACTAAGACCCAAACATGATTATTTTAGTAAATTAAGACCAAAACTTGTGGTCAAAACATGATTATTTTAGCAAACTAAGACCAAAACATGGTTAATTTGGTAAACTAAAACAACAACTGTCGGTCAAAACATGATTATTCTAGCAAACTAAGACCAAAACATGATTATTTTAGTACATTAAGACCAAAACTGTCGGTCAAAACATGATTATTCTTGCAAACTAAGACCAAAACATGATTATTTTAGTAAATTAAGACCAAAACTGTCAGTCGAAACATGATTACTTTAGCAAACTAAGATCAAAACATGATTATTTTAGTAAATTAAGACCAAAACTGTCAGTCGAAACATGATTACTTTAGCAAACTAAGATCAAAACATGATTATTTTAGTAAATTAAGACCAAAACTAGCGGTCAAAACATGATTATTTTAGCAAACTAAGACCAAAACTAGCGGTCAAAACATGATTATTTTAGCAAACTAAGACCAAAACTAGCGGTCAAAACATGATTATTCTAGCAAACTAAGACCAAAACATGATTATTTTAGTACATTAAGACCAAAACTGTCAGTCAAAACATGATTACTTTAGCAAACTAAGATCAAAACATGATTATTTTAGCAAACTAAGACCAAAACTAGCGGTCAAAACATGATTATTTTAGCAAACTAAGATCAAAACATGATTATTTTAGCAAACTAAGACCAAAACTAGCGGTCAAAACATGATTATTTTAGCAAACTAAGACCAAAACTAGCGGTCAAAACATGATTATTTTAGCAAACTAAGATCAAAACATGATTATTTTAGCAAACTAAGACCAAAACTAGCGGTCAAAACATGATTATTTTAGCAAACTAAGACCAAAACTAGCGGTCAAAACATGATTATTTTAGCAAACTAAGACCAAAACATGATTATTTTAGTAAATTAAGACCAAAACTAGTGGTCAAAACATGATTACTTTAGCAAACTAAGATCAAAACATGATTATTTTAGTAAATTAAGACCAAAAGAAGCGGTCAAAACATGATTACTTTAGCAAACTAAGATCAAAACATGATTATTTTAGTAAATTAAGACCAAAACTAGCGGTCAAAACATGATTATTTTAGCAAACTAAGATCAAAACTAGCGATCAAAACATGATTATTTTAGCAAACTAAGACCAAAACTAGCGGTCAAAACATGATTATTTTAGCAAACTAAGACCAAAACATGATTATTTTAGTAAATTAAGACCAAAACTGTTGGTCAAAACATGATTATTTTAGCAAACTAAGACCAAAACTTGATTATTTTAGTAAATTAAGACCAAAACTGTTGGTCAAAACATGATTATTTTAGCAAACTAAGACCAAAACATGATTATTTTAGTAAATTAAGACCAAAACTAGCGGTAAAAACATGATTATTTTAGCAAACTAAGACCAAAACTGTTGGTCAAAACATGATTATTCTAGCAAACTAAGACCAAAACATGGTTATTTTAGTTAACTTAGTTCTTATTTACTAAAATAATCTTGTTTTGACCAGTATATTTAATGTAAGACTAAAACTGTTGGTCAAAACATGGTTAATTTAGTAAATGAAGACAAAGTATTGGTCAAAACAAAGTTATTTTTGTAAACAAATACATTAAAACTGTTAGTCAAAACAAGGTTATTATAGAAAATGAAAACTATTGTTCAGAAAAGGCTATTATTGAGAACCAAAACTATTTTGTCAGCGCCAACAGTCTAGTGGTTTGTGCATTGATATATACTGAGGTCACTGAGGTGCTCACAGAGACCCGAGTTCAATTCCCAGCTCAAAGTCCTTTACTGATCATTCCCCTTTCTCTCTGCTCCACATGCTTTCCTGTCCCAGACTATTGGTCAAAATGAGCTTATTTGAGTAAAGAGAACTAAAATATTTTGGAAAAACATACAATCATTTTCAGTGGCTGAAATTTTGGTGTACCCTAGTTACAATTCAGGTAACACTTGGAGAGAGTGGATTTTTACATGACACACACCATGAAAACCATTGAGATTTTATGCATGCTCATGAAAACGTCATTAAGAGAGGATAATATTTGTATTTTCATCTCTGTTTATATTTAATATATGTTAATAATTAGACCCAATGATGGGCTGAAAGAAACAAAACTAAACTTGGATTTGTTTTGGGTGAAGTTTCCCCACCTCTGGCTGTGTGTGGAGCTGGAGGCCTCCTCACTGGACGAGTCGGGTGTGATGATCAGGGGTCCGTTGGGGACGGGCAGCCCGCCGTTCATCTGCGAGTACACGCTGGCGGTGGTGGGCGGAGGTTTGGTGTCGTCCCGCGCTGATCTCCGGCTCGATGACTCCAGAAAGCTGCAGAAGTCCCAGCTGTCAGAGAGCGAGTCCTGGCCCAGAAAGTCCAATCTGAAGGCCTCGCACAGGCCGCGCTCGCTGCTGGACGTGCTGCTCGCTGTCGCCACCGTCCAATCGTCCGCATCCAGATCCAGCTCCAGGTCTGATGTGAGTTTGTCGATCTGACCCACCACCTGGAGGACGCAGAAGGAGAGAATGATGGTGAATAATGGGCTTCACATATTCGTCACATTGATGGTGAGTCGACCTGTTCAAAAAAACTGAGACGATTCAAGGATCTTCATTTATTTTATTAATGAATAAGGCAAGCTTATATGAAGTTTTAAACATGTCCAACAAGTTTCAGGTGAAAACCAAGTAATCTGAGGGAGTTTTAAAAAGTTTCAGACCCTGAAACAGGCCAAAAGCAGCAAAAAACAAAGTGATGAACACTGCTTAAAACAAAGATCATCAGTCTTTCTGTTTTAATATCTAGGCAAGTCATTAAACAACAGGGATTTGTTCTGTAGACAATCAATCAATCAATCAATAAATAAACCAATATGTGTTAAGTCTGACCTGAGTTTATCGATCTGACCCACCACCTGGAGGACACCGAGCCACTTAATGATCATAAATAACAAAAATAATGAGTTTGTGTACGCTCAATTGATGCTCAGGCACCGCGGTCGACCTGTTCAAAAATCTGCAATACCTTAAGGATCTTCATTGATTTGATCAAAATAAACAATCTGAAACTGGGCTGACTTGAAGGTATTCCCAAAGACACATTATATTATATAAACGCTAAGCTACTAAATATACAAACTTTCTCTCAAGCATTGTGAAGTGTGCCTTTATTGTCAGATAAAGGCACAGCTAAAGTAGTTCCGGCAGGTTTAGAGTGCATTACAGCTCTATATCACTCCACTAATTTATATCACTGCTAAAACAGTCAAACATCACATCAAAACACAACAGAAGGCTTCGGAGGAGACGTGGAAGAAACTAGTGCTGCACACAGGAGCAGTTTGAGGAGGACACACACCTGTCTGTAATACAACATCTCAACAGTTTACAAGCTGTACTGGAGACCAGAGGACAAGCACAGAAATTACCTCAGGTGTGCGTTATTTGTATAATAATTCAATGGCCTATCCTCAAGTATTACTTGTGTGTGTGTGTGTGTATATATATATATATATATATATATATATGAAAAATGGATGAACAGTACATTCTACTGTAATCTCAATACATAAAACAATATACAATCACTCGCCAGATCCCTTTGTTTAATGGCTCATTAATGCAAACATCTAATCACAGCATACCTACAATATACAATATATTCTGATAAATGGAAGCTAAAATGTAAAGTGACAAACAAAAATAATAACAAGACAAAAAGAGTTGCTTTGTAACTACTCAAGAGATTTCAGCTGCTGACTGGGCTTTCCATGCCTTTCTACGCCTCCCTTTCTTCATGTGTTCTTCAACTTTTTTTTTTTTGGTCATTTTATTACACAAAACTAAAGCAATTAATTTTGTTTTCTGAAAAATGTATTTAAAATGTGTTGCTAGGTCTCTCCAAAGCCCAATATTAACACACTGAAATGCTGTGTGTTATCATCTATTCTAAACATCATATATTTACATCTTAGATGCCATCTTTAATCTTACATTTATATTTATTTGAATGATCTAATTTTTCCATATATTAAACTATTACATTATTATTATTATTAATAAATACAGGCTAAAATATATTGAAACCTAAATGTTCAGTGTGGTGCCAAATCTCTATCTTGTCTATCTCTATCCATTTATGCAAACATGTAATCAGCAAATCAGTGTCCCTACAGGAAAAAACTACACCTAAAAAAATGATACCAAATGCATTATATTTTGAGAAATGTCAACTAAAATGTAAAGTGGCAAACAATAATAATAATAATAAAAAGTTTTAGCCGTTGTCTGGGCTTTCCATGCTTTTCTACACCCCCCTTTCTTCATGTGTTCGATCTTTTGTTTTTTCTTTTGACATTGCATAACACAAAACTAAATTAATTAATTTTGTTTTCTGCAAAATTGTATTTGAAATGTGTTGATATGTCTGTCCAAAGCTCATTATTAGCACACTGAAATGCTGTGTGTTATCATCTATTCTAAATATAATCTATTCACATCTTAGATGCCAAATTAAACCTTACATTTATATTTATTTGAAAGATCTTATTTGTCCATAGATCAAAATATTAAATTATTATACAAAATATAAATTGACAAACAAAAAACAACAACAACAAAAAGAGTTGCTTTCTAACTACTGAGAGATTTCAGCTGCTGTCTGGGCTTTCCATGCCTTCTACACTTTCCTTTCTTCATGTGTTCAATACTTTTGTCCCCTTTTCATTTAATTTTCATTTATTCATTTTCTTTTTGGCTTAGTCCCTTTATTAATCCGCGGGTCACAACAGCGGAATGAACCACCAACTTATCCAGCACGTTTTTACGCAGCGGATGCCCTTCCTGCCGCAACCCATCTCTGGGAAACATCCACAAACCATCATTCACACTCATACATTATGGACAATTTAGCCTATCAATTCACCTGTTCCGGAGCACCCGGGGGAAACCCACGCGAACGCAGGGAGAACCTGCAAACTCCACACAGAAACACCAACTGAGCCGAGGCTCGACCCAGCGACCTTCTTGTTGTGAGGCGACAGCACTACCTACTGTGCCACTGCGTCACCTTCATTTTATTACACATAACTTAAATTGTAAACTAGTTTTGTTTTCGGAGCTTGTGTGGATTAGTTTGGTTGTTGTTGACTGCTGGTGAACATTTCAAATCAACAGCACCTTATATGTTTTCTGGTAAAAATAGTGACATATTCAATACTCATTTTACTTGTAATATCTGAAATTAAGCATTTAAGATTACAGATATTCCAGAAACTCCTGTGGAAACCCTGCAATGCTCTTTTCCTCAGTTGTTGGCTTTGTTCATCCAGATGTGAATAAAGCCTTGAGAAATGAGGGATAATATCAGTGTGTGTTTGTTCAGATGAGTCTCCGGCTCAGGTGTGTTTCTTCTGACTCTTTGTGTCACAAACACAGACGGATCAGATGGAAATGCCCTGCTGGCATGAAGGATTAAAAATCTAATTCATTTATCCAGCACAATGACTCCAAAGGAGCAATTAGGAGCCGTAAATCCCTGATTAGAGAGCCGGAGGAGGCCTGCGGTTAACAGATGACGGAGACGACTCTGCTCATCTCTAAAGGAAATCACACTGAAAAAAAAAGCAAAAAAAAAAAAAAAACACGATTTTCTTTTTTTTTCTTTTTTTTTCTTTTTAGCATTTTCTAGACAAGTAAAAAATATTGCCTTGTTTTCAGAAATAATGAGTTATTTAAATTAAATTAAATTAAGTGAGACTTTCCTTAAAATAAGCTAAAATATGCCATTGGGTAAAGTAAAATAAACCAAAGTAGTACAATTAATTTGTTTTAGCTAAGATATTCTTATATATATATATATATTCCAGATGCTGAAGCGTTAAGCGTGAGTGATTTACATGTTAAGTCCATGCAAAGACGCGAATAAACATCCTGTGAAGCGGAATGAGGCAAGAATAACCGAGCGGACAGAATCTGCATCTGTGTTGTGGTGAATTTTAAATGCAAATGACATAAATTTGATGCACGGAAAACACTAATTTGACGCACGAGTGACAAAAATTTGATGGTGAATAACATGAATTTAACTTGACATGCGAATAACACAAATTTGAAGATGCGTGAATGACATGAATTTGACATGCTAATGACACAAATTTGAAGATGCGTGAATGACACGAATTTGACGTGCTAATGACACAAATTTGACTTGACGTGCGAATTACAAAAATTTAACGTGCGAATGACACAAATTTAACGTGCTAATGACACAAATTTGACTTGATACACGAATAACAAATTAGATGCACGAATGACATGAATTTGACGACGCGCGATTGACAAAATTGATGACGTGTGAATAACATGAATTTTACTTGACATGCGAATAACAAATTTGACGATGCGTGAATGACAAATTTGACACAAATTTGTTGTGCTAATGACACAAATTTGACGACGCACGAATTGCATGATCTTGACGTTGGAATGACACAAATTTGACTTGCTGCACGAATAACAATTTTGACGCACGAATGACACAAATATGACGATGCGCGAATGACAAAATTGATGGTGCGTGAATAACATGAATTTGACGACATGCAAATAACAAATTTGACGATGCATGAATGACAAATTTGACGCACTGACGTGACACGTGAATGACACAAATTTGACGTGCAAATGACAAATTTGACACGCGAAGACAATAATTTGATGCGCAAATGGTACAAATTTGACACGCGAATGATACAAATTTGATGCTCTAATGACTCTAATTAGATGCACGAATGATATGAATTTGACGTCTATTTCCACGTGAATATCACGTTTTATTCACTCACGTCATGCCTGGTGTGAACACGGTATAACAGTGGTTTGTTCTGCAGACAATCCAAAACAAATATTGCTGAAGGGGTCTAATAATATTGACCTAAAAAATTAAAAACAGCTTTTATTCTATCCGCGATAAAACAAATAAGACTTTCTCCAGAAGAAGAAAAATATTATAGGAAATACTGTGAGAAATTCCTCAATCTGTTCGACATCATTTGGGAAATATTTGAAAAGGAGGGTGTATTATTTTGACCTCAACTGTATTTGTACTCATCATATTTGTCCAAATATCTTACTCCTCTATGGGCCGCTGCTTCAGTTGCATTCTGATTTGTTGTGGTGGGCTGTTATTAATGTGTTGTGACGTGACCTACTGTACCTCATGTTGTCTGAAGATGTTCTGCCTCCCACATCCTCATCAAACAATGAGAAATATGAAAGCCTGCATGATTGAAGCTCTCAGAAAACCTCTTTAATAAATGTCAAACACACACACACACACACACACACACACACACACACACACACACACACACATCACAAGCTAAATTAGCTCAGAAATAACTTCTAGACAAAGGGCAATTGGACTGCAGTGAGTGACAGATTATTAATAATGTGCTCATGATCAGCAGCACTGCCAGCCAATAGCGGCTCAAGCCTGTCTGTC